TCTCCGATCATGGCTGGGGGGCAGGGCAAAGGCAGCCCCAAGGTTTCTGATCACTGTCATTGGCAGGGGGCTTCTTCCTGCTTTCCCTTTCGCCTCCCTGCATTGTGCCTAAATATGCAAATTAACCGCCATCTTGTTGGCAGTTAATTTGCATATAGCCCTGATTAGCCAATGAAAAGGGTAGCGTTGTACGCCAATTACCATTTTTCTCTTTTATTAGTGTAGATTAGTGTAGATTGGTCGTATTTGCTGATCTGCCCAATTTCTTCTTCCTAAACTTTCCTTTTTGAGGAATCTGGGTTTGAAATTTCATAGCCACAAACCTTAGCTGATTAGTACTTCTGCTGTTGTTAGCTTAGTGTTCCATCCTTACAGATGCCACAGCTGTGACATTTTAGTTTGGGGCAAGCAGCTGCTTTACGGGATCTGTAATTTTACCAGCTGTACTAGTGGGAATGAGTAAATGGTTGCATTGCCAGGACCTCGGACATAAATGTGTGAATGTTAATGAAATGAGAAATTAAAAATGAAAGATGGAGTGTACAGAAAATATTAAACATACTAACTGGAAATATTTCTCTTTAGATGGAATCTGCCTGCGTTTCGATTCATGAAGCTCTGAAGTCTGTCATTGACTATCAGACTCATTTCCGCTTGAGAGAAGCTCAAGGCCGAAGCCGAGCAGAGGATTTAAATACAAGAGTGGCCTATTGGTCAGTAGGAGAAGCCCTCATTCTTCTGGTGGTTAGCATAGGGCAGGTATTTCTTCTGAAAAGCTTTTTCTCTGATAAAAGAACCACCACAACTCGTGTTGGATCATAACTACGTTTTGGGAATTGATGCACCATTGCCACTGTAATATTGCTGTCCTCTGATTAATTTTAGGTAACTGAAGAACTTAATATTGGCAACATTTTAAAAACATTACTCATATACTTGTTTGGGGGAATACACAATGCATATCCCAAACTATGGAAAGGACACCTTTTTTTATTTGTAAAGGTATAAAAACTTTGGGACTTATTTTGGGCTATTCGTGTTAAATATTCAACACCAATACACCAGTGATCTCTTTTCTTGGTTGTTTATATCTATTCTTCGCACACTAAACTTTGGTATTTTGATTTCTTTTTGCCATTTTAAAACTACTTTTCTTATAGGTAGTGAATATTTTTAAGACCTTCGATTTAATATCTACATGTGTTATGGAGGAAGAAAATTGCCTTTTAATTGTTTATAGTAAATTACGTTTTGTTTTTCAGAAAACCAAATGTGACTCACTATAGCCCAAGCCCTATTGTGCACTGTTTAATTTTCATGGGGGAAATATCTACCGTAGAAATGTTTGTTAATATTGATATAATTTTTAATTGATACATCATGGTATAACTTATTTTTCACTAGCTTGGAAAATGTCAGATTTTTGGTTTGGGGGTTTATTCTATGATTTATAACCAGATATGTAATTTTTTTCATAAAGACATTCTTACCACGTAGAAAATAGTATGTTTCAGTAGCATAATAGAGTTTTCAGGCCTTAAAACTCAGATTTTCATACCAGTTAGAATAAATACAGAATAAGGTACTGCAGTGTCTTATAGTGTAGGGGCAAATGAAATACAAAAAATTTTATTGAGTTGTCTGCACCCATTACATTTTCGGTGCTTTTACAAAGAAAAAAGGTGATCTGTTTCATTTAAACATTTAATTGGCTCGTTCTTGCCATTATGTGGCTTTAATGTTTTTGAGTCATTCCCAGCTTAAATTGATTATTGTAATATTAGTATCATAAAAGTGCCATTCATTTAATCCCAATAGGTGTGATGCACTGAGAACTTAGTTTCTTTGGATTTTTTTTTTCTTTCTCTTTTCTTTTTCTATTCTTTTTTTGTCTTGCATATGTAATTTGTATAATTTCTGGTTAGCATCCCAAAGATTTAAAAATTTAGAATGCTGTGTGTGTTTTTTATTTGATTGTACTGCATTTAATGAATATTAAATAGTGCATATTCTGTACACTGTATGGTTTAGAATGTGTTTGTATTTTATAACATAGATTGAGCTGACTGGAATAAGATTTTGTTCTAAGATAGAATACAAGATATTGTAAAATTGTGTAAGTGTTTAAAGCTTTTCTGCTATAAAAAAATATATATATGCAACTACTTTTTGCCATGCCTCCCTTCCCCACCCAAAGTGATAAGTGCTGAAAAAGACTCATATTGTACAGACTTTGATATGTGGTGCCATGGAATACTGATTGGATAGCAATTCTAGTCACCACTACTGACTAAAAGTTAACTCAACTTTAAGCTGTCTTAAAATGCGTATATACATATATTACTGCATGTAAGAGCAAAAAGGAATTGAAGTTGTCATGCTGGCTAATTTCAAATGCAATGTAGAAGGGATAAACATGTTTTCAACTTTAACCCTTTAACTCTAAAATTTTTTAAGACCAAATAGGCTAATCCTTAATATCAGATTAAAAACTGAAGTTTAAGATTTTGCAGTTTTATCACTTGGATTCTTATGTTGGAGTTGTCCCACAGCTTTATAAGTGTCCCTCTATATTTAGATTTGGAAATTTTAAACACTAATGTTAATGTGATTCATAAGCATGGGTGTGTCTTGAATGTCCTTTCTGGTTACCTGTCTGCTCTGTTTTGTTCAGATACTTAGACCATAAGCAGAGTCAGGTACCATTAGTATGCTGAGTTTGGCATAGATAATGTGATTTCATCTGTGCCTATCAGAATTTCGTAATATTAGACTATTGCTACAAATAACTTTTGATGAAACTATTGAGATATATTAATATGTTTGAAATCACCACTGCTGCCTGTCGTAGAAAATAGTACAGGCTTAGTCTAATCTGTATGTAACTGGTTAATGTTTGATGGCTGCCTATACTCAACTGAGTATGTATATATAAATGAAAGAGTACAGATTTAGCCAGACATAAGTGTTAAGTAAACTTTTTTCTTCCTCCTATATAATTTGTAGCTCATGTTTCTTCTTTAATTCTTTCATAACTTGATGCAACAGTTTGAATTTCTCAAATATTTATATTTGAACACATGATTCAGAATATTTAAACATCATTAGCTGTATATATTTTTAAAATAGACTAAATAGTGGAAAAGGACTTTGATATACAAGTGTATCAAGTGAATACTTAAATTTCAACTGTGAAGATACATTACAAGATTACTTTGCTAATAATCTAAACATTCTTTTTACTATTAAAAGAAATAAACGGTGTGTGGTCATTACTTTTCTTCTGGCTTGATGCTCATCAACTTTGAAAATACAATGGGCTAAAATCAATTTTATTCTTTTAGATTTCATTCAAATCTCTGTACTATCCATATTTGCTTAGTTTATAAAAGTGTAACATTGATAGTTAAATAGGACAAAACTGACCTTATGACCATTGATTTCAAAAATTAAATTGATATATAAATAAATCAGAGAGGCTTTTTAGTTACTTTTGAAAAGAAAAACAAATTTCTCTAAATAGGTGTTGGTTCTGTAGGGTTGCACCAATCAGTACATGTAGAATTTTAAAAAAAATCAACAAATTGACTTGTTTCTGTCAGGATTTAAGCTCCTTATGAACTTGCAGCTTGGAGTACATTTTTGTAGCCACCGAGTGATTATTTATTTGGTATTTCATCAAAACGTCTTCGACCAGCCAAGAAAAAATAAATGAAGAGAAAGTTCACAATATACCATTTCCCTTTAACAAAAAGTTTTACATTATATGTTCTTGTTTTCACTAACAAAGAAATCCAAAGATTTCCTTTTATGAGAAACTAGAGGCCCAGTGCACAAAATCTGTGTGCTGGGGGCATCCCTCGGCCTGGCCTGCATCCTCTTGCAGTCTGGGAGCCCTTGGGGGATGTCTGACTTGACGGCTCTGTGGGGAGCGGGCCTAAACTGTCAGACATCCTTAGCGCTGCCGCAAAGGCAGGAGAGTCTCCCGCCACTGCCGCTGCACTCACCAGCTGTAAGCCTGACTTCTGGCTGAGCAGTGCTCCCCCTGTGGGACTGCACTGATCACCTGGGGAAGCTCCTGCGTTGAGCATCTGCCCCCTGGTTGTCAGTGCGCACCATAGCAACTGGTTGTTCCGCTGTTCGGTGGGTTTGCTTATTAGCCTTTTATTATATAGGATGGTGAAAATAGCATTCAGCTATTTTGCAGGGAGCCATTATAGAGGCAGCATGCACCCTGAGCAGCATGAGTGGCACTGCTTTCATTATATGTTCATGTTATTTTAGGTTTTATGTGTTATTGAGTACGTTATTTTTTGGGTCTGGGAATGCTTAAAATTTTTTCCACATAAATGGTAATGGCTTATTTTCTTTACCCCATTTCTGCTTAGGAAAGGTTTCATAGGAACACTCAGCTTTCAGATAGCATAGGAAACCTGTACCACCTCTAAACTGCCTTATTTTTAACCTTTTTGCATTTCTTTTTGTTAATCCTCATCCAAGAATATTTTTTCCATTGATTTTTAGATAGAGTGGAAGGGAGTGGGAGAGACAGAAACATCTATGTAAGAAAGACACATTTGACTGGTTGCCTTCCACATGTACTCTGACCTGCAGCTGGGGTTTGAGCCTGCAACTGAGGTACATGCCTGTGCCTTTGACTAGAACCTTTCAACCTGTGGGGCGACACTTAACCACTGAGCCAAACCGGCTAGGGCCCTTTGCATTTCTTACTGAAAGTTTGGGTGAAAGGCACTTTAGCCTACAGTTTCCTAAAAAGCTCTTAGTTGTTAAGTAAATTAACCTAGACTGTATAATGCAGTGATAGCGAACCTTTTGAGCTCTGCGTGTCAGCATTTTGAAAAACCTTAACTTTACTCTGGTGCCACGTCACATATAGAAATTTTTTGATATTTGCAACCATGGTAAAACAAAGATTTATATTTTTGATATTTATTTTACATATTTAAATGCCATTTAACAGAAAAATCAACCAAAAAAATGAGTTCGCATGTCACCTCTGACACGCGTGTCATAGGTTCGCCATCACTGGTATAATGCCAAGTTGCCTCAAGTTTTTTCTTTCCCTTTATAATGTAGTCATAGGGGACTTTCTGGGTTCTGGGCACAATCCTATAAAAAAATAACAGTAAATAGAGATTAACATTTATTAAATGCTTACTTTGTGCCAGGTGTGCTAAATATTTTACTTGTATTGATACATTTCATCTTTGCAATAATCCTATGAACCAACAAATTTCCATTTTACAGATGAGAAAACAGGGGCACAAAGAAGTTAGGAAACCTGCCCCATATCACAGTAATTAGTAGAATCTGAATACAAACATTGCAATCTGGCCCCAGAGCCCTTTTTCTTATCCACCGTGCAGTACTGCCTTACAAACACCAATTAAAGGATGGATTTATGAAGGCTTACCTATCTTTATTTCAGGGTAGCTCAATATCAGTTTAGTGCTTTAATGTCAAGTTCAAATCTTGGCTACATGACTTCACACAACTGATTTTATTAGTATGTTTCTTCATCTATTACTAAGGTGATATCTACTATAATGATAATATAATGAGATGTTTATTAAATACTAGAGGCCCAGTGCACAAAATTCGTGCACTCAGGGGGCGAGGGTCCCTCAGCCTGGCCTGCGCCCTCTCGCAGTCCAGGAGCCCTTGGGGGATGTCTTAAGCCATCAGACAGACATCCTTTGTGCTGCTGCAGAGGAAGGAGAGGCTCCCGCCACCGCTGCTGTGCTTGCCAGCTGCTAGCTGAGTGGAGCTCCCCCTGTGGAAATGCACTGACCACCAGGGGGCAGCTCCTGTGTTGAGCGTCTGCCCCCTGGTGGTCAGTGCGTGTCATAGTGACCGGTTGTTGTGACCAGTCATTCTGCAGTTCAGTCAATTTGCATATTAGACTTTTATTATATAGGATTAAGAACAGTGCCTATGATATACAAGCACTCAACAGTAGCTGTATTTTTATCATTGGTCCAATTCTGGTTTCTTGTTCTTTTGTTTCTAAAGTTCTTACTTTGGTCTCTACTCATATGGTTCTTAAGTAGTATATAACACACATATGAAAGTGTTTGAACATCAATCATGTATATAATAGTCTGTTAAAGTTTCAAAAATGAATAAGATAGTCTGACCTCCAGGAATATAACTTAGTTGAGGGAGGCAGGACAGCTATATGAGCAACTAATGTTTCATAAGCAATGAAGCAGAATGGCCTTGAAGGGGCTAAGGCATTTACAGGGTGCTATAGGAGGAAGAAAGCATATAGGTTGAAAGACTTATATCCCAAAAAGTTTAACTTTGTCTACCCACAGGGGAGGTCTGTGGTCTAGCTAGGTCAGCAATTGAGTGGAGTAAACTCTAATTCAGGGATAGGGACTATTAGCCTGTCCACATTGCTACAGGTAGGAAAAACATGTTCTTTAACTTTGTTAATAATAAAGGTGATGATCTCTTAACCTCTCCACCTCAGTTGTTTCCAAATTCTGGAGGAATATACAGGATGTTATCCCTAAACTATCAAATGTGCAATTTTCAGTCTGCATGTCTTGATTTTATCCACAAGATATCATCATTAGAAATTATCCCATTCCTTGCTGAAATCAAGATTATACCAGAAGTAACACTGGTTTAGCATAATCTGTTTTTAGTGCTGCTATTTGCTAGTGGTTACTACTACCTTAAAAAGAAAAGGCAGCACAAGATCTTAAATAATGTTTCAGCCCTGCCGGTATGGCTCAGTGGTTGAGTGTTGATCTATGAACCAGGAGGTTAAAGTTTGATTCCAGGTCAGGGCACATGCCTAGCTTGCAGGCTTGGTCCCTAATAGGGGGCATGCAGGAGATCCATGTATCACTCTCATATCAATGTTACCCTTTCCCTCTCTAAAAATAAAATGCTTTTTTTTTTTTTTTAAGAAATACAACATTGCCAGCATCTTAGAAGTTTCCTATGTATCTTTTTCTGACCACATCCCTGGATTTCTCCACTAGAGATAACCAATGTTCTGCTTGAAATGAAAATAATTTTATTTTTCTTTATGTTTTCACCCGTTATGTATAATAGTTCTCAAACTACTTTTTAAAATAATTTCCATATGTCACAGATGCTTCATCCATGTTGATATATATGGCTGTAGTTTGATTTTGTTCCTGTATAGTAGTCCATCATATGAGTGTACCACAGGTATATGTCTCTTCTACTATAATAGTTTTGGGATTGTTTCATGTTCTTTATTAATATGAACAAATCCATTATGAACACTCTTGTATATGTGTCCTATTGTACATGTGTATGATCTCTTGAGAATACATCTAGGAGTGGAATTATTTGCTCCAAGTATGTGTGTATCTTCATTTTAACTAGGTAATAGCTAACTTTTCTAAAGCAATTGTACCAATTAGTGCTTTCACCAGCAACAACGAAGTATGTTCCACATTTAATATTGTCAGACTTTAAAACTTTTGAAAATCTGAGTATTTCAGTTATTTTTATACATATATGTGCATATTATTAAACTGATATTAAACTTCATCGTTGCTTAATTTGTATTTTCATGAGGTAAGTTTTTTTTCTCATGGGCTTATTTACCATTTTTATTTCATCTCTTGTGAAGTCCCTGTTCAAATCATTTGCCCATTTAAAAAAGTTGCATTAGTTTGACATTTTTTAATTAATTCCTTTATGTATTCAGGAGACTCAATTTTTTGGTTATAAGTATTTCAAATATCTTCTCACTGTTTTTATTTTTCTGTTCCTAGTGTATCAACTTTTCCTGTATTGATGTTTTTATGTCTTGTTTAAGAAATATTTCTCTTTCCTGAAGTCATAAACATCTTCTCCTATACTATGTTCTAAAATATGTATAATTTTACCTTTTACTTCATTTGAATTTTATATGAGATAAGGTAAGGTGATTAGCAGGTTTCTTTTTTCAATTTCTTGAAAACTCATGTTTCTCTATCGACTTATAATGCCAATTTGGTCATCTATTAAGTGCCCATATTTACATAAGTCTATTTTTGTGCTCTCTGCTCTATTCCAGTGATCTGCTTGTCCTTACCCCAGTAACATATTGTATTAATTACTAAAGCTTTTTAAATTCTTGATAATTGGTAAAACAAGTCTTTATACCTTGTTCTTCAAGATTTTGGCTGTCTTTTGCATTTTTGTACAAAATTTAGAATTAGCACAATGCTCTACCACCGAGCCACACCGGCCAGGGCTGTTAGTTTTCTATGCTATGTAACAAATTACCAAATTTATCAGTGTCAAACACATACTTTATTATCTCACAATACCTATGGGTCAAGAGTCTGGGCAAACCTTACTGAGTCCTCTTTTCAGGGTCTCACAGGCTGCAATGAAGTTGTCACCTGGACTGTGCTCTCCTGTGGAACTTGGTGTCCTCCTCTTAACTCGTCAGGTTGTTGACGAAATTCAGTTCCTTGCAGCTGGAGAACTGAGGCCCTCAGCCAGTGAGGCTTCCCCTCCACATAGGCAGTTCCCATCGTGACTGCTGTTTCCAGGCCAGCAGGAGAGAGAAGCTGCTGTTTCAAGTCTCTTCCTTCAGGGAAGGCCTGACAGGTCCTGACTAGGTCAGAGCCACCTGGAATATTCTCCCTTCAGAGTCAACTGAATAGGGACCTTAATTGCATCTTCAACATTTTTCCACCTTTACCATATTCTGTTGGTGAGAAGCAAATTACAAGTTCTGCCACACAAAGGTATAGATAAGGGGTTGGGGAAGGATTTCAGGGACCATCTTAGAAGTCTGCCTACACAAGCTCCATTCTACAAGTCTTGATATCTACATATCAATTTCAAAGAATTTTCTGATTTTATTATTCTAATTTGACCCCTAGATAGTATTTGGAATTGTAATTCTTAATTTCCAAACATAAGTATTTAAGTTCTTTTTTATTGATTTCTAAGGTAATTGCAGTATTCTGATCAGAGGCCATATTCTCTATTATTTAAATTATTTGAAATTTATGGACAATTGCTTTGTGACTCCATTTACCTTCTCAATTTATATGTTGTCATATATTTTGTATACCTTTAAATATAAGTTACTACTATTTTATATAGTCAATATTAATTTAGATTTGCCCATATATTTACCATCTTTGTTCTCTGTTCCTTGCTGCTCTTTGAGCTTATCTGGAATAATTTTTCTTCTGCTTGAAGAATACATTAGAATTTCCTTTAGTGCAGGTCACCTGATGGCAAGTTCATTTCCTTTTTTTAAAAAATGTCTTTACTTGGCCTTCATTTTTTTTACCCTTCATTGTTGAAGGAAATTTGTGCTGAGTATAGAAGTGCACCTTGAAAGGAACTGTGGGTCGCTAGGCTGCGGTGGGCACAGGAGCAGGTCTTGGCCCATCCTCCGCGCCCCCACCCTGCCCCTTCCACCACGCCCCCTGGTCCCCTGTCTGCCAGCAACTCTGCTCCCGTCACCTCTCCCACACATTGACAACACCATCCCCACTTGCACCCGCCGACTTAGGAATGATTGGGGCCAGCACCAATAGCGGTGCTAGCAGGGCCAGCGCCAGCAGAGGTGCAAGCACCCAGCGGAACTGCAGTGTGCAGGAGCAAAGAATTTTCAGTAACCACCAGAGGCTCGCCCATGACACGCCTGCCTTGGTCTCACGCCCCCACTCACCTGCTCCACCATCCTGCCGCAGCCACAGCCAATGCCCACCATGTTCCGTGCTCTGCCGCCTGCTGCCAACGCCCACCATGTTCCACGTGTGCCCCCAGGTGGTCAGCGCATGTCATAGCGACTGGTTGTTTGGTTGTTCTAGCCTATTTGCATATTAGGGTTTTATGTATATAGACCAGTGGAGTCCTTTGGCCTGGCCTACAGGTTCAGGCCAAAACCGGCTCTCTGACATCCCCCGAGGGGTCCCAGATTGCAAGAGGGCCAGGCCAGGCCAGGCCAAGGGACCCCACCAATGCACAATCAGGGCTGGGGAGGGACTATGGGAGGGCTGCAGGGTGTGTCCAGCCCATCTCAATCTGATCGGCCAGAGCCCGGCAGCAAGCTAACCTACCAGTCGGAGCACCTAGCCCCTGATGGTCAATGCACGTCATAGTGAGCAGTTGAGCAGTCTTAGCATATCATTAACAAAGAAAAATCAACCAAAAAAAGTGAGTTCGCGTGTCATAGGTTCGCCATCACTGGCATATAAGAATGAAACTAGCTCCTGAGTGCTGCCATCATCCATCCAATGTCCCCTTGGCTCAGTGCTGTGCAGCCCTTCCCTTGGGATATCCCATCCCCTACCCCCTCAATTTTTCTTTATCCACCATCTGAGATGGCTATTTAGCCTGCCCGTGTGCACCACCCATGTTAACCTTTTAGTACCCACATAGGATGGTCTAAAATTAAAACTTTTTAACCAAAAACAGGTCCTGGCAGGTAGTCATATCCTGGGCCAGGATCTTTCTGACCAAGATCAATCTTTACCTCAACTGAGTCTGTCTGCATCTAGGATAACATATGTTTGGAATATCAGGGTAATTTCCTTGTTCCAGACCCCCTCAGGGCACAATCTCCCACCAGAGCAGGGGACCACAGAACCCCTCATTGTTATTGTTATAATGTTAATTGTTAACTATCCTATACCCACCTACTACAAAGAAGTATGTGTCTATTCATCTTACTTTTTATTGTCCCAGAGATTTCTCCACTTTGCCTTCTCCTACTTTGCCTAATCTATCACCAATAAATTTCATGTAACCCCCTTATGCCTCCTCTTTTGATTGTAATCTACACTAATAAAAGAGAAACATGGTAATTGGTGTACGACCGCTACCCTTTTCATTGGCTGAACAGCGAGATATGCAAATTAACTGTCAGCGAAGATGGCGGCCGGCAGCCAGGCAGCTTGAAACTAACATGAGGCTTGCTTGCCTCAGTGACAGAGGACTCCAAC